TGGAACTTACAATTTTCCAGTAAGAGACTGAAACTAACGTCAAAGTTGCATTTCTGCCTTTTTCTCTCCCACAGAACACAAAAGAAAAGAACAGTTAATATAGGGTTGTATTTTTACTTTCTTGTTTTCATCCTTTTCATGCCTTTTATCATGCCTTTTTCCTATTTCCAAAGCTAACTTCTTCACATATTCCAAAGTTACTGGAAATAGGATAACATCTGCTACTCACTTTCAAAAAATTGTTCGAATCTTCATAAGTTACTAAAAAGCAAAACATATCTGAGACAGAATTAGAATGTAGTTTCTAAAAAATTACTTCAGTACACATTGAATTGTTCAGAAAGGGGAGGAATTTCAATAGCTAAAAAATCTGTTTCTAGGATTTTTTAATGATGTGAGTTTTTAGAGAATAGTTTTGCCCTTTTTAACCAGCTTACCCATCAGAATTGTGTAAACTAACCACTGTTTCACAAGAGATAAGTGCTTAGAAAGGAAAGGGACAGATCAAGAGTTTGGGGTGCACTATAAAATAACAATTCTGTTCCTATATGTAGATCATTATGCAACTGTTTTTGTGATATTTTCCTTAATACCTCCTTACTTAATCAATAAAAATTAGGCACATAACCCTCAACCTGCAGGCTTTCATACTCTGAAAATGCTTGCAACATTTCCAACCAACAGAGGCCTAGAGGTCTGAAAAGTCAAGTGACTGCAAGGACAGCTGGACTACTCAACACTAAACTGGTTAAGTCATGGAAGCTTCCTCTCTGTAAAGATAAAACTCAACAGAGACATTGCAAAGAGGCAGATTTCAGAAAACACACCACCTTCTGAAAACAGCCCCCATAGAATTTGTTCAATTACAATACAGAAGAACTTTGCCTCAATAGATGCATTTAAAACATCTTGATGTCTGCACAGTTGCAAATTGTAGAAACACCACTTGCAGCCAATTGGCACAAACAAAAGACAAAAGAATCAAAAGACATCAAGCTTGTTTCTTTTTGTTGTTGTTGATGCTGGCAGTAGGATAGAAGCTGGGAAGAACAACAGGATGTAACTCAGGAGCTGTCTTTAGGGCAAAGGAGAGCATTACTCCTTTTCTTGTCTCTTACACATCCAAACATCTTCAGACATTGAAAGGCATTTATAACTTAGCCATTTGTTTACAATATATTACAGTAGTGACACTGCTCTTTGATAACATTTCTTTGTATTACAGTAGCGTCTACCAAGAAAGGTTTACTCTAGCTTAAATAAAAATAAAAAGAATCTCTCTGTGACTACAAGTTTATTAAAACCTTGATCTTGTCTTGTAATGCACATCAAAAAAATATGTCTGTGCAAATGATACTGTAAGGTGCTGTTTCAAACAAAATACAGTTAGTGAGATTGATGATAGGAAATCTTGTAGATGGGATGGAGCAGATAGTAGAACAAAGATAAGATTATTAAGATAATTCAATCTCATTTGATCATTTTTAACATTAAATTTTTCTGGACTAAGTAAGTAGATACCATCAGCAGCTGTCTGCTATCTTTTTTTAATTTGTATTTTTTTCCTACAGATACACAGGCAGGGACAACTCTGAAGTATGCATTTTTAAAATTAGTGAAATAGGTCATTGACTATTTCTGGGAGAAAACCCCTCTTGTATAGTGTATATAGGTCAGATAACACTTCTTATATAGAAAGGAATTCTCATTACCATCAGTCCTTCAGAGAGAAGTGCTAATTGATTTTTTTTTTTATTGTGGGTTAATAAAGAAAAACTTTATTTTAGTCTTCAAGAACTTCTTGAAGTTCATAAAGTGATACACCATAACACAAGTGGAAGCAGAACCCAGAGACCTCATCAGAAAGCCAGTGATTTCAGAATCAAAAAAAAAAAAACTTTCTTCTCAATCAAAAATTGTAAGCAAGATCACAGAATTTGGTGAGAGAACATTCTCAGTAGACCATACACAGGAGAGAACCTGAGGAGAAAATCAATTTTACAGTTCTTGAGAAAAACTTTACAGTGCTTTTTTGAGAGATATGCTTGTGTCAGAATGAAAATGGAAGTGGCATGATAGTTAGCTGAAGAATCAAAAAAAAAAAAAAAGAAAGCATATTCAATTTCTCCAAAGGCTATTTGTAACAAGATGCTATTCAAGCTGCCTTGGAGGCCACAGACTGCAAGCTGTTGTAAGTACGAGCAGAGTAAATGTAAGTATCTCTTAAAAATTAATGCTGAGAAACTTAACAAACATCAACACTTGTGAGACTGAATCTTTTTCTTGCCTTATAGCTAGAACTGGCCTGGCATGCAGTGAGAAGTGTCGTTTGGATTACAGATGGCAAATAACTGACAGGAGCATGCTGCAGGCATGATTTTTCATCTTTACTAGGCAGACTTACACCAATTAAATTTAGTGTTTACATTTTCGCTTCATTTTGCAATATGATGCTGTAGATAGCTGCACCACTCCACATGCACACTCTGAACTGTCACATATCACCTAAGAGATTAATTCTCTTTCTCCTACAACTAGATGCTCAAAACATACAATTCTGGCCTTGAACAACGTGAAAACCTTGTGTTTAACATGTCTATAGCAAAAGACACCACCTGTGGATATTATTATCTGACATCCTATTTAATGTAACAATGGTAGAACTATTGCTCCTGAGGAGATCATTATCCTGTTTTGCTGTAGTTGAGTGTAGTACTTGATTCAAATCAACACCGACATGTCCTCTCATGCTTGTTTTGGACAAATGCTGTTATTCAGACAAAGTGATTCCTTTCCACTGTCAAAGTGGTAAATAGGGTCAAAATAATCATACAGTCAAGTGCTTCTGTCCATGGTAATATTTTTAAAAACTGCTTATAATCATGAGGTACTAATATAGTAATTTAGAAGTTAGAAAATAATTAAAACCACCAAGTGGATATGCATTCCATTTGGGAATTATTTGAGACATAAGCATAAAACGTCATTTATTATCTCAGGAAGATAATGGGAAGTCCTCCAAAGACACTGAATAGTCTTTGGCTCATATTCCTACCTGCAGATTTCCCTTCTGCCCAATGAAAGCCTCAATTTTTGGAACAAACACCAGTGTCTTGCCTTGTCACTTCCATTCATGGGCAGAAATTTAATATTTTAGAGGGTGATTTGTTTGTTTGGAATGAGATAAAGCCCACCATGAAATGTAATGGAATATTATAGGGAATATTTCTGAATTACAAAGATTGCATATTTGAATCATTTTCTCTGCTCCTTTTCCTCTCAAGGGAATAAATTTGATCCTACAACCTTTATTCATCTGAAAGTAACATTTGCAAATATATATAAACCTCTAAGGTCAGGCCAACCTAGCTTTTTATGGGTCAGACTGTAAATTCCTTATTCACGCCAAAAAGGAGTTGCACAAATCTTTCAGATAACAAAAAAGGGACTCAGTTTACATAACTCCTCATCAGTGTGAATAGTGATTAATGAGGTCATAAATCAGAACAGTGAAGAGGCTTGCTAACACTGGCTAATTTTGTTAGTATTTTCATTTGAAAGTACAGCAAAACAAAAATATTTTGCATCATGAAAGGTAACTTGATGTTGCTGAATTATTTTCAGATGGAGTGAATAGATGCAAGTTGATGCTACATGCTATATAAAAAAAAAAATTACTTTCTGTTCTCCTTCTTATACATTGGAAATCTGTACAATTTGACATGTACACCGTCAGCCAATCTTTGGCACTTTTATCAGTACAGATGTCCTTAATTCTACCTGTGTCTTTTCATCTGTGTTTCCATTGTTCAGAAATAGCATTATCCCAGTATTTCAATAATAAAGAAATGCAGTCATTTAGAATCACAAACACAGTTTTGTTTCTGTCTCTGCTCTTTGTAATATCCAACAATGGTCTTACCCTATAAAAAATTGTCAGCTAACATCTTAAAATAGCATATGGACATAAGTATTCTGCAGAGACTGCAGGAAAGAGAAAGAGAGAGAGAAACAGTAAAATTCAATGATCCCCAATAATATTTTCAATGCAATCAATGGTTTTGCAGATGATTCATTAAAATAAAAAATGATATGTTTGGTTGCTAAATGGTATCTGTTTGTAAAGAGGAGGTGATTTCACTATCATCTAACGGCCAGAGTGAAAGCTAAGACACTTCAATAATAAGGTGTGTACGTACCTAATTTATTGCACCTTTCCTGGGAGTCTTTTGGAAATACAAAAGATTGTTTTTTAGAAACAAAAAAAAGTTGTCAACTGGTGAGAAGAGTTATCCTTTATCCATTCTCAGGGGATTGGGTGATTCTAAAATAGTAATGTCTGAAAACAATGCCAGTTGTATGGTAATATGCTTTTCATGGTCTTTGGTTCAATCACACTTACTGCACCATTTTGATGCTCAAAACGTAAACTCGATTTATATCAATTGAAAGAACTCAAGGGGGTAACTTCTACTCATAGCTCATAGAATAAACTGTGCAAGGAGAAAAAAAAAATTGCCAACGCTATGTTACTGCACTGGACATTTGCTTGGAGATAGCATTTCTCTAGCACGATCTATTTTTCACAAGCTCACAGAAGTATAATCAGAGAAAGCATTTTAAAGAAAAACCTGCCTTACTTAAGACTTTGCCAGGCAAAAATTTTTAACTGTAACCTTGTGTAGGAAATGAGCCATGATGATGACCACTCACGTAAGCCATCATTTGGTTTCTCTCCCTATCCCTTATTTTACTTTTCTTTTCCTATGGATCCGTATTAGTTCATCTTGTGAATTCTAGTCTCTCATTTTTAAACCAGTGAAGAAAGGGGATAAATACAGGAAGAATGAAGGAGGGAAAAGGAAACCTCTGACTTGGTATTACCAAAAACAAAAAAAACAAAAACAAAAAAAGACACTAAGATGAAAACAAAATAGTGTCATGGATTTACATATGGGGTTTTGATGGAAACTAGGGCTGGGTTTTAAATCAAAACTCACCATCTCAAAACCACTTCTTTTCATCCGCCTGCAGGACTTGAGGTAAGTACGTATGCGCTTTCTGGCACGCTCTTGATACTCAGGGAATTGTCGCCTGCATGAGTCAATGATAGCCTGGATCTTTTCTTTGGGCTGCTTAGAGATTGGGACCATTCGGTCCAAGTTTTCATCTACAAACAGCCTGACAAACATCTGTTGGCAAGAGGGAGACAGAGGAGACGGGTTTGGAGGGCTGCTCTCTTCTCTTCCTAGCTTTCTGTCTTGATTACTGATAGGTTGACATTTTTTCTATCCATGGAATAGCTTTGTAATGGGAAGCCAGAAATATTAAGCAAATAGTACTTTAAAGGATTATATAGAGAGTGGGAAGAAGCTAGTAAAAAAAAAAAAAGAAAAGAATAGTCTACAGGATATAGAACTTGAGAGATAAACCAGAATAGACTATGAAAATAGGCAACACTTAGTTTCATCATTAACAATAAGCAGTGATTGCTACTTCATTTTATTGAAGTGAATTTCACTTTTGATTTGAACAATTGCTTGTGTTTTCATGCACAATTACATACACTGGGAAAGCAAAAGAGAACAGCTGACCAGTGGAATGGTCTTCTGATAAACTAGCTACAGCCCCTTTTCGTACACTGACTGAACATGCACATTCACACATCCACACGCAGGTAAGCACACACACACACACACAAAACAAAGCTTTGCTTTCTTCACTGGTGAAGATGGCACTCTGATTTAAATTCTAAACAAAGCACAATAAATCTGTCTTCTTTTGGCAATCTGCATTAATATAATAATTGAAAGATCAAACAAATTAATGTGCCATTAATACTGTCAAATTTACCCATAAATAATAATGTAAAAAGAGATAGCAGAGGTAAGCAAAGCAGGAAGTGCAGAAGGACTTACATTAAAAGCTTTCAGTCGCTCAGCTTCTACCCCATCTGACTCATTAACCTTCTCAGGATCTTCCTGCTCATCATGGTCATCCTCATCCTCATCCCCTCGATTCAGAGACAGATCTTCAGCACCTCTGTCTACGCTTTCATTTTTGCCAGAGTCATAGCTTGAATAGCTATGTGCAGGAGACTAAAAAAAGAAATTAAAAAATACATTTGTAAAAAATCACCATAGAAATAAGGTCTATTCATCAAAAACGCTTCATAAGCATTAAATAATTCCATGATTTTGTTTTATCCTTTGTTCAACAAAATGTGCTCATGATCCTTTTAAAAATGAACAATTCACCATAATATTCATTTCCATGCTTTAAAAAAATGTGACCAGATGCAAATTCAGTAAATCAATTACCAAATAGATTGCCTGTCGTAATTACAGTTAAGATGAAGTATTTGCTATACAGCACTGTCCAAGTGTTACACACGGAAGATTCTAAGAAATACTGACTTCTGTATACTAGCCATGAATAAATAAGGGGCAGTAAAATTGCATAAAACCACATATGATTAAATGTTACACATTTTAAAGCAAAGCAGATTTCACTAGAAAAAAATTGATATAAATTCAATTGGTATGAAATATAAAAGGTGCAGTAAGTTTCTAGTTTTCACTTGCAAAACCCCACACTGAATTAGAGGTGTGTAGGTTTGCCAACATCGTGAATGCACTGCTGAGAAATGTACTGTCCAGCCATTTTCACATATCAACATTCAGAATTTTCACCTTAGCAGAACAGTCAACTTCTCGTATAAATCAGATGACCATCTCATTAAAGTTCTACCCAGTTGTAGGACCAAAATTTTTCAGTTATAAAGAGAGTCAATACTGTACAATTTTCCCTGTAACACTAAGACTTCAGTTACCTGCTTCCTCTGCATATGCTTCAGAATGAAAATCACAAAGACAACAGGAATAAAAAGCTTTATATGACCTAACACTTCAGGATCAAATCTTTACCCCAGCCACACAAAGGTATCACAGAATCTTCAACAGAGCCATCACATTCATCTGAAGGTAATTCAGAGCTCAATTTTATTTCTATAATATTTTAATCCTGTAATATTTCAATATATTGTTCTATCACTTAAAAGCATGCTGTTTTCTGTTAGCTTCAGAGAATCTAAATCAGATGCTACATTTTGAATTTCACATGAATTCCTTCATCTAAATGCCACCAAAAAACCCTCAAGAGCATAATACCTCAATCATAAATTTATTTCAAATACACATACATAAAATCACATTTTGAGCTATATTCCGAGCCTCCCAAAATTCGCTTCTTATTTCAGGGGTGTTTTCATCAATCATAAATGTAGCTGTGTAATGAGGTAGAAGGGAAAGGCCAACAAAACCACATTAGTCTTTAACATATACTTCTTGCTTTAAATTCTTACTCCCATAACTTTTTTATGTCCCTGTTTTCATTTCCATCTCATCTTTGTCTTCTTTACATCATCAGTTTTGCAGTCACTCCCATTCATTTTCTTGCCTTTCCAGCACTCATTGTCCAAGCCTTCCTTATCTAACCTTCCCAGACTACATTATCACAATACAAATCCTCTTGAGTTCCACTTTTAAATATCTAATGCACCTAACAGCAGATCTTGCAGCCTCTTTCTCAGTTCCTTTCCTAAGAGTCTCTTCACTGCCTAGATAATGGAGATAGGAAGAATGAAGAAATAGCAGAAGAAAACAGAAAATCCAGCTTGGGATGCAAATATCTTCAACAATTAGTAAGCTCAGCATCACCTCTTGTCTTCGTACAGCCTACAACTCCGTGGCAAAAAATTTTTGCCTGATTGCAGGGTTCAGGATAGCAGACATGAGATGGTGTGGAAAAATAAGACTTGGCAGAGCAGCAAAAACCCTGTTCTCTTATTTGGCACACTGGTGTTTTGTTGGGGAAGATGGTGAATATCTACACTGCTGCCCATTCATAACTCTTCCTTGTAGCAGCTGCTGAATTCATTGAATAATAATAAGTTTCAGGAAGAACATGGTTCCATCCAGATAGGACACGATGATTATAACATTCCGGAGAGTGTAGCATATATAAACAACAGTATTTAACTTTGTCACTGGCTACCATAAAGCCAACAGCAGCAGTCTGATAGCTTGTTATGAAGGAATGACTGATTTCACTTAATAGTAAAGAGATTCTCAGAAGAGGAAGAAAAAGAAGTAGAAAGTAATCTAGCTTGCAAGAAATGTTCTTTTGCACTTCATCATTTCTCTCCTTACTACAGCTATAGTTTGAAGAGAGATCCTAGATGATCTAGATGCAATATGCAATTTCCTGTGGTAAGAACCACATAGTTTCAGCAAGCAGAAGCTATTGCCCTCAAGAACCCCACTATCTGAAATTCCTGTTCCACAAACACTTGGTTTTATACAAGTCATTTCATAAGATTAAATTGAATTAGACTACTCATGTGCATAAAGTTAAACAGATGCAAAACTGATTTCAACATGTACATATGTTTGAGCTAGATGCCAAGATCATAAATTATATACTAGGATTGAAATTTGTTTTTGTGAAGGAAAGAAATTCAGACCTAAATGTATTAGCTATGTGTGTTAAAAAAGAAAAAGCAGAAGTTTTTATTTTTTGTCTTTTTAAAGAAAGCACTGCAGAGGGCCTTGTCCAATGTTTTCTGCCAAATATTTATTTCAAGAACAGTTTTAGCATTGTAAATAAGAAGTGGAGAATAACATGCCGTATGAACATTGTATGACAAAAATTATTATTCACTAGGGATTTGCTGATGGTGCAACAGAAAAAAAAAAAAAAAAAAAAAAAAAGAAAGAAAGAAAGAAAGAGAAAAGGTAAGCTTTTTTCCTAGCAGGGGAGTCAACAAACTGTCATTACAAAGCCTCAGTTAAAAATATATTTTCTACATTTTTTGTATTTCTACACAAAAGAATATTTAGGCAGAGAAGGAAGAAGCTGTTCCCTCATTTGTTTTGACTCTGTAGTTGTGCAAAAAACTGATAACCATTTTCTTATGCTACTCCATTAAGCAGTTGCAGAGGTATATAAACATGAAGTAAGAAAGCAGAGGATAAATTTTTTCTTAACACATTCTCCAGCTTCAAGTCTCACACCAGAGAAGCCTGATTATTGAAGGTTGCCATTGTCTTTTGAAATGGCTGCTCCTGCCTTTGCCAGGCAAGAACACTCTTATTTATTCCTGCGCACCCCTCGATACATACATTTTTATAGTCCTGGGGTGAAGTAGACTAGAGAAGCAATTCTACTAACCCCAGTCTTATTTATTTATTCATTTTTTTTTAAGACCAGTTCTTGGTTCCAGTTCACCACCCAAAAGCACTGTAGGAGAACTGTTAGGTCACAGCTTGAACTGGTGATTGAGCACCTATGAAGGGCTGTGGCTGGCACAGGCAAATTGTTTGCAGTTATGTTCCCAAGTGACCAGAAGTGGTGGACCCAGGATAGAGGCACCCTGAACTCACATAAGGGCCAGCTACTGAGAGGAGAATGTCTCTTAAACCTAGGCTACTTCCTGGGAAGGGTTGCTGGGTGGTTGGTCAGAGAGCTCCTTTACAAGGTGGACAAATTTGACTCTTCTTTCTGTCCCTGTGCATACAACTATTGGTCTACCTGCAAATATTCTGCCTAGTATTGCCAAGAACCTGGTAGAAGCAGTTTCAGTTCTTCACGAACAGAACAAGCACAAACCTTTAGGCTTAGCAGGATGGTGCGAGTCTCGCATAGAGAGAGCACACATCTCAACAGCAGTCCAAGATTGAAGTGGATTTATTAGATGGACAGAAATCTATAAAGCATGAAAGTTCTGTGTTTTAAAAAAAAGCTATAGAAATGTAAAAGGAGAACTTGTTCAAGGAGAACAAACAAGGCCTAGAGTATTACCTATACAAAAAAAAAATTATTAGGTTGCCTTAAAAATATTGAGACATTGATAAACATATTTTGGCCACTTTGTCCTTTTCTGAAGGTTCCGAGTTAATTCTTTCAATCTTTCCCTTGTACCTTGTAATAGTAAGTATTTATTGTACTCTCCTCCATTACAAAAAAAAAAAAAAAAAAAAAAAAACTGCCTAAGAACTTGATTTCAGAAGCTTATCATGAAATACCAACATCTTTCCAGTAAATTAACAAGGTTAATCTGAAGGAAGGCATCATGTAATACAATAAAAACCTGAGAAGACAATGCAGTGTTGATTAGTACATATTAGTGCCATAGAACAAGGTCAGAATGTTATTCCTGACCACCGTTTGTATGGAAGTTATCTTAAGACTTCCAAGGATGGAGATGAAATGCATCTTCTAAATATTCTACTTTACATTGTATACATACTTATTAATATATATAACACATCAAACATTTGTAGATGGTGCTAAACTTCTGTCTTCTTCATCTGTCTACTACATATGGCAAGAGACAACAGATATACCTGGAGAAGATAGCATTCTCTTTCCACCTTATAGCAACCTTCCAGATGTTTGAATTCAGATTCTTGTAATGTCCCTTCCCTTCAGTATTTCTTTCCCAATAAATGCATTCTTTCTTCAAAACACATTTTCCAGATTCCCGACATTCTCTTTGGCCTACTCTGAAAGTTGTACATTTTATCTGAAACTTTTTCAAAGAATAATTTCCAAAAACTCCAAATGTATTCCATATAAGACCTGTCTATAGATAATAGATTTATTTGTTGCTTGACTGATTTATTGATTTTTACACGCTTATGTATAAAGAGCACATCACCTTATTTGTGAGGAAAAAAAATATATACCATTTATATGAAATATTTATTAATGCAAAAAATCCACAATAGCCAACAGAGGTTGTGTTGTTAGTTTCTGTGAAACAGCAATGAACAAAATCAAAGTCTACCATATCTTCCCGGTGCCTAGTAGGCTCAGATGCTCATATGCAGCCATTAGCCATGATCTCCTGAATGACACCACGTGTACTCATTCGCCAGAGACTTTTCCCAACAATAGACTCAGCAACTCTTAACTTCTTCAGTGAGCCAACAGAGGAGGCTACTGATGACAGACAAAACGTTACTCAGTTACTCAAAAAGGTCATCTGTGATGCTGGTTATTTGTCATGACTACAGATTGGGGATTATTGTGGCCT